GGCATTGTTTCCACTGTGAATGACCTGTTTACTCTACTTAACTCTGAGGGTTTGTCTGATTGAAGGGGTTTAAATTTTTGTTTATTTCGAGGGAGGATTTTTGGTCTAAGGTTAAGCATTGTTTCCATGGTGAATGGTTTAGCCTGAAAACCACGCACATGATTAAACTGAGTATAAAGGAAAGTACTTTATATATATTTGCATGTGAACTGGCAGCTGGGCATTGTTTGTAATGTGAATGGTCCAACGTTAATCCATATCATTAAGAAGAGAAAATGAAAAATACAAAGTATAAATGGAAATAGTCTGGGCAAGCTGAACATTGTTTCTACTGTGAATGGTTCAGTCCCTTGCCCATATTTGTCTTTTCTTTTGAAAACGAAGTCAGAGAAATATTAAAATTTTGGATATTAAACAGCTCAGCGCGACTAGGCATTGTTTCCATGGCGAATGGCGTGGTCATCCGCCCAAAAGAAGAGAGAAGTAGTTGTGCAACCTGTTCGTGTATATCATAAAGACAAGCTGGACATTGTTTCCATGGCGAATGGTTCAACTTTATGTCTTATGTAAGATGGGTATAAGGATTCAAGAACTTAAGGATTAATGAATTATCTATATGGAATGAACTTGAGATGGTGAGAGTACTTATATTCATGGTTTGATTTGCATGTGACTGGATGGGATGGTTAGTTTGTTTGGGTTTCAGTATTATAGGTAGCTGCTTTAGTTGCTCGCCACGTGCTAGAGCCATAGGAGTTAGTATCAATTTCTGCATTTTCTGTAATAACTTTTTTTCACTGAGGTCAATTCCTGCATTTTCTGAGATATTTTCTTATATTTGGCTTTGTATAAATCTTGGCAAGCCACTTTTCCTACGGGAAGCGCTGCCGAAATTTCTACAAATCCAAGGAGTTAGTCAACTTTTGACTTGTCGGAGTTCAACTTGTCTTTTCCATATATCTAGTTTAGTAGGAATCTGGAAAGTCTCATTTTCTAAAGGGAGTGTTGCCCAAATTTTTACTAATTCAGGGAGTTAGACAAAATTGGACTTTGAGAAGTCAAAGTTATTCTCAAATTCTGAACCTCGCTTTGTATAAATTTTGGGAAAGCACTTTTCTAGAGGGAGTGCTGCCGAAATTTCTGCAAAACTGATGAGTTAGTTAAATATTGTCTAAATTGAACTCAAGTTGTCTTGTGAGTTCAAATCTGACTTAGTATAAATCTGGGAAGTCTCCCTTTGTAAAGGGAGTGCTGCCCAAATTTTTACGAAATCAGGGAGTTAGACAAAATTTGACTTTCCATGAGTTAGAGATTATTTCTGCTCTCATATTTTGGTTTATATAAATTCTGAAAAGACACCTTTCCTACGGGAAGCGCTGCCGAAATTTTCTTAGTTTAGAGAAGATAGATTATATTTTGACAGGTGGTGATTCAGGCGATCCACCCAGAATAGGGGAGATTCTGCAGTTGGTCTACCTTTGGCTTGAGCACTGGCTTAGAGAGCATCGAAATCACCAGGGCTAAAGCCTTTTAGGTTGAGTGTGGAGGGTGGGTTGAATCTCCCCTATTCATGGCTTAGGGAGATTTTGAGTGAAGATGTATTATGGAGTTGTATTCTCCATACACTTATGATCTTAGTTTGGGGATTGGTCTGATGTGTGTTACAGGTCTTTTTGATCATTTGATCCAAGTTCAGGGCTTGATTTAGCTTGATCCCTTGAGGATCACTTTCTGTTATCACTGATAACAGGTCGGTTGCCGATTCGTCGGTCTACGACTCAAGTTCAACTCACCCTCCACACTCAACCTAAAAGGCTTAAGCCCTGGTGATTTCGCTGTTTCATTAAGGTTTCACCCGGACTTTTATTGAATGGTCATTTAACAAAGGTACTGAGTATTTTAATTAAGGTTGGTTGGACAGGAGGTGTGGGGTTTGCATGGCTAAAACGAGGGGTATGAGTGTCGAAGGAATAGTTGAAGTTGACCCAGTGTAGCGTGTGAACTTCTCGTTGAATCTTTGATGTGATTGCAAGTACGGTTGTGGTTCGAACTCTGAATGTGACTGCCTGCGATTACATATGTATATGGCTGAGAGGAGTCCCACTGTGACTGTGAGAACTGATCGTCCTATATAAATAAGCCTTATGTGTATATTTATATATGCCTTGGGCATGCACTCAACTTGTTATGATCGTGCGCAAGGGTTAGCCAGATTATGGCTCAAGAAAAAAAGAGAGATCATTTTTCATCCTTTTGCTCTTTGGAGTTTTTTATAGTTGGACGTTATAGTCTGTGGTAGCCGTCAAAGTCAAACCCCTTGATGTTCGACCCTCACGACATCTTAAACCTGTCTACTCAACCCCTCTGCAAAGGGTGCAGAAAAAGGTGTGGTCTTCAACCGCGCATGGCGGTTGTCCAGCGTCGAGAGATTAACCCTCAAGGCGCGTGTCAGCCGACACTTGAGTGTCGAACGCGACCCTCACGATTAACGGGGATCGCGTGAGTATGGGTACCACATAGTACGTCTTCATTGTGACTGTTTGTGCACGTTTGCATCGCGAGTCGATATGAGTTAGCCCTGCGTCCGCGCGGTTTTATACTGAGTCTCGCTTGCAACGCCTATTCGATTTCCTCATTGGAAAGTTATGGGTCGGCTACCGAGGGGCTAGGAGCGTTGTCGCGTTGTTTGTGTTGTGTCGTTTTCGTGCATGTGTGTGTGTTGTTGTCTTGTGATTGTTAGAGCGGTGTGCGCGTGGTGTGTGGGATGCGTCCTAGTCGACCGACGTCGAATCGCGCTTGGGACTTCAGCCCCCCAAGATGACGATTCGCATGCGAGTCCGACGGAGGCGTATTACCGCACGTACCCCCTATGCTACAGCGAACGAGAAACGCTCTCCACTGGTCCACCTTTGCGATTGCAACTGATTAGCTTTCGTACTGTGGACTGGTAGCTCGGCGGGGATACGGCCACCGAAGGGAGGTGACAGCTCCCGTAAGGTGTAGGTAAGTCGTGCCTCGCGTAGGCCCTATCCTGTCGTAGGGGCTCGCGAGAGGTATGGCTGGCGCGCTCGGCCAGAGCGGCTTAAGGAAGCTCCACATGTATTATCTGCGACGAAGGATTTAAATCAACTCCTGCGTGACGCGGTCGGGAAGGTCCCGCGCTGCCCTGGTGCGGTGCCGGATCGATGCGCTCGACAGGTGGCGCCGTTGCCGGGGATAACGGAAAGCCTACCGTTGTCCCTGGTGGAACGACATCCGGGTATAAGAAGTGAATGAGAAAAGGCATAAAGGAAGGACGAGAAAATGAGGAAAGATAATGAATGACTAAGTATAGGTGAGGAAATTTACCTACCTGAGTAAGGGAAGGTATGAAGGACGAACGTGTAGCATTGGGTAAAGGTACGTAGTAAGAGTTAGGTAGGACGGATGGAATAGACCGGTCAAGGTGCGATGCTGAATAAAAAGAGGTATGCTTGTTTTCTTTTCTTTCTTATCAGGGAGCTTGAAGAGAAAAGTCTGTCAAGATGTCGCAGGGCAGCGGCGCATCGGGTGGTCCCAAGAAGGGTCTGACGCTCGATGAGCTCATTGCGGCCATTGACCGGCATGAAAGGAACCCGAGCAATATCCCTAAAGTCGAGACCTTCCATTTTTGTGGGGAGAGGGTTTCAGAATGGCTGGAGCGGGTGGAACAAGCTTTGGTCGGGCGGTCGGACGTTGTAAAGTTCCAATGCATCCTTCAGTATGTCCTCCACAGCTACCACCAAGAAGTGAAGAAAGTCATAGATGCGGCCCAAAGTAGCTGGGAGAGGTTCAAGGAGGGGATGCAGAGGAAATACCACCTGGGAGACGGGTTGTTGACTACCGCGGATCTTGAGGCGATGAACAAAGAGGATTTTACGACGATAGGGGCCTTTGTTCAAGAATTTAAGAAGAGGGCGCGGAAGGTCCATGGGATTTCGGAGGAAGCACAGTGCGCCATTTTCCTAGGGTTACTCACGGCATCGGAGGCCATTGAGTTGACGAGACATGGAGGGGGTAGCACCAAGCTGACATGAGCCACCATTGACAGATGGGTGGAAGTTGGGTGTTTGGACCAGGTGGAGCAACGTCAGGTACGCCTGCAAAGGCAGAAGAGAAAGGAAACAGATGCGACCGCTTCTGGGACCCCGGGGGTAACAAGGATTGTTACAGATGTATTGGCACAGCTGGGGTATGCGACAAAGCCGGTGGTGCAAAGGAGGGTAGTAACGGCTGTCCAAGTGAAAGGAAAGGAGCGGGTGATAGAGGAGGTTGTTCAGGAGGAGCTCTGGGAAGAGGAAGAGTCGGTGCCGCAGGGCCTGACGAAGGCCCAGCGCAAAGTGCGTAACTTGGCGCAGGGCGGACAGGGATCAGGAAAAGCGCAGGCGCCTCAGGCCTTGACAGCAACCCTTTTAAATGTGGCAGCTCCATCATCTAGTACGGGCCCCTCGCAAGGAGGGGCGCCCTCCTACGGACAGTGGTCCTGGTCGGTGATCAATGCAATCGTACTATGGGGTAGCCCGCCACCAGTAGCCGGACCGCAAACGAGTATGCCGCCACCCATCTACCCCGCAGCCCAGGCCCAGCCTGTGGCCCCGCCGCCGTCACCCGCTCCCAGTTCACAGGGAAGCGTGGCTGGTGGTGGGAACCAGGGGCAGGGCAATCAAGGCAACGGAGGGAGGGGTGGAGGAAGGGGGCAAAGCAGGAATGGCGGCGGAAGAGGAAGGCAATGGAATGGTCAAGGCCAAGGGTACCAAGGCCAAGGGAATCAAGGCCAGGGGTACCAAGGCCAGGGGTACCAAGGCCAAGGGAATCAAGGTCAGAAGTACCAAGGCTAGGGGTACTAAGGCCAGGGGTATCAAGGCCAGGGGGATCAGGGAAGTCCGGGGTATGGAAGACCCCGTTTTGACTGGAGGACGGCCATCTGCCAGCATTGTGACCAACAAGGCCACACTATAAGGTTCTGTAATATAAGACGGGAAGACAAAAGGAGCGGGCTGATTTCCTCCACTATGGATGGGAACATCTACGATCAGTTTGGGGAGGTCATTGATAGAAGGCTTGGAGGAGTGAGGGCAGAAGCCCAACGAAGGGCGGCAGCTGGGCCGCCACCCCCTGCCATGTTCAGGCTATGGCATGAGAAGAAAGGACCGTCGGTGGGGATAGAGGAATTCAGGTTATGGCAGGAAAAGGAAGAACCACCGATTGGGGTAGAGGAAGTGGGAAGCGATGAGGAAGTGACTCAAGGGCCACAAGGAGGAAGTAAGGGGGAAGAACCCATAATCATTGAGCCAGATGACGAGAATGAGGAAGAAAGGATGGAACCTTCGTCCGTCTTGTTGGGGAAAATGGAGGACCTGCTGGATAAGATGGGGAGGTACCAACAGAAGTTGGTGGGCCTCTGTGAGGAAGTGAGGAAATGGAAGTCTAACATCCCCAAGGTGTTCCTCTACGAATCTGGTCCGGAGTCAGCGCCTGGGCGACCCAGAGTAAATGAGGTGGGGTCGTGCCCACAATGGGGAATAATGGGGAGACCCCTCACTCCGCAGGCCCGGCTGGCGCAGGCAGCACGAACGAAAAGTCAAGCCAAAGCCAGCGCCAGCCAAGAGCCTCCAAGGAGGGAGCTGGAGCCAGGAAAAAGAAAGGATGCTGTGGAAGTGGAGGATGACGACAATGAGGAGGAAGAGGACGAGAGGCTGCGTAGGGAGGAGGATCAGAGAGCGGAGAAGCGGGCAAGGAAAAAGGGAGCCAGGGGAGAGGTCGAGCCGGTCATGCGCGACGGACCGCCCAAAAAGAAGAAGTACGCAGTTCGGTTGGAGAAGGGGTTTGACGTGGAGAGAGTGATCGACCGGCTGCTAGAAGGGCACAATGACCTCATGACTCTGAAGGAAATCCTAGCGTCGGCCCCGCGACTCCGCGATGAACTGAAGGGGAGATTGTTGTGGCGCCTGGTGCCCAATGTCCATCTGGGTATGATACTGCCCAAGGAGGCAGTGTGGGCGAAGTCAGGTACGAAGATGGACTGGAAGTGTGTAGCCTGCGGCACGGTGGATTTGGTGGTAAAGGGTTCCAAGTGCGCAACAATTGTGGACACCGAGGCAGAGATGAACATTATTCGGGAGGCGAACGCGATCAGATTCGGGCTGGATATAGACCATTCCGACTGCGGTATTCTGCACGGAGCCAGCTGCAAGGCCATATTTTGTGGGACAGCCTCGAATGTACTCATCGAGGTTGGAAAGGTGAAGGTCTGGGCTTGCTTCTTCATCATGCCGGACGTGGATCACGGAATCCTCCTAGGAGGTCATTCCTAAGCAGGACGAAGACCATGATATTCAATAAGCATGACGGGACGTTAATCCTCCTCTTATGCGACCCTGCCTGCGGGAACTACGAAATAATTACCTGCAGAAACACAACACCGAGGAGTATAAGGAACCGGCCCAATCTAGGATCCTTCACGATTGAAGATTCGGAAAGTGAGCGTCGGAGGTTCCGGGCAGAGCCAGAAGGAGAAGAGAAAGTGGAGGCATTTTTCCTCAGCCTGTCAGATGTTGGGAAGGCCATGGACTTGGTGGCCGCGCATGAAATGGCAGATCCGGATGCCATCCAAGCTTTGAGAGAGCAAGTTCTGGAATGCCCCGAGGCAGGAAGGTTGGAGCTGGTATATTGGCTTCCGGGCGGCGGGAGGAGCCCCACATCAGCACAGGCGCAATCTGTGAGTCGGCCTTTTTTAGGGGGCGGCTCAAGCAGGGTTCCCAAAGGCGGTACAAGACGAGAAGTGCCGCCCGGTTCCCGTCCTCGTTACAGAAGACGAGGAAGCATACTACGAAAGGGAACGAGGGTTGATACGGCGAATGAGAGAGAGTGCTCTAGCAGGGTCATGTCGTATCAACGAAGGGAACGAGGGGAGGTTGATTATAGGGGAACCCGACTTCCTACTGCCTCAGGAGCGAACGTTGATGGTGGAGTTGATGAAAAGGAGGCATCGCGCCTATGCGTTTAGCGACGAGGAGCGTGACAGGCTGGATGTGGACAAAATACCTATGATCCACATCCATACCGTGCCACTCGAGCCTTGGAACATGAGAGGGGCGCGATATCCTAATCCTGACAAGGAAAAGAAGGTGGTGGATTACCTCGATGGCAAAATATGTACGCACGTCGCCGACTATTCGAGTGGACCGTATGCGTCCCACTGGTTCTCCTTTATCAAGCCTAACGGGACGCTGCGGTGGGTGCAAGATTTGCAAAGACTAAATGTGGTGACCGTGCGGGATGCTGGAGGATTGCCCAATGCAGACGCGCTGTCAGAATCCTATGCTGGAAGGCCTATAATCTCACTTATAGACCTTTACTCAGGATATGATCAGTTCTCGGTCTACCCGCCGGACAGGCATGTGACAGCTATGCACACGCCGCGAGGGTTAATCTACATGAACGTGGCCCCGCAAGGGTGGACCAATGCGGTAGCAATGGTCCAACGGGCCATGAATCGGGCTATGCAGTCAGTCAGCCCCCATATCACACAGCCATACATCGACGATTTGGCGGTGAAGGGGCTGGCGGTAAAAGAAAGCGACGAAGTCTCGCCAGGGGTAAGGCGCTTTGTTTGGAAGCACATCCAGGACCTCGAAAAGGTCCTAAGCCTGCTTGAAAAGCATAACCTCACGGCGAGCAGGGCCAAATCCAGACACTGCATGAGGGAAACGACTATCTTGGGGTTCGTCTGCAGTGAGAAGGGCCGAAGGCCGGATTTGAAGAAGACGGACAAGATTACTGGGTGGTCGGTTCCGTTCCACTCAATAACTGATGTCAGGAGCTTCCTTGGCACGTGTGGATTTTGGAGGGCCTTCGTCAAGAACTTTGCCGCTAAGACTGAACATCTGAGGAAGTTAGTTCGTCAGGACCAGGAATGGGTTTGGGGCGAAGAACAAGAAGAGGTGGTGGCTAGGATGAAGGAGGAATTTCGAAAAGGAGGGTTGGTGCTAGGAGCGCCACATTATGATGCTACGGAAACAAGACCCTTCATTGTCGAAACGGATGCGGGGCCAACTGCCTTAGGAGGAGTTCTGATTCAGGCGGGCATGGAGGGAAAGGAAAGGCCTTTGAGATTTGAGAATCGGACTCTCTGTACGACCGAGAGGAACTACTCTCAGTTCAAGAGGGAGACCCTTGTCGTCCTCCACTGTCTGCGAATCTTCCGGAACTACATCTTCGACAGGAGGTTTATTTTGAGAGTGGATCCGACCGCCCTGACCTAATCTCTAAGGAATTACGTTCCATTGGATCCTACGGTTGCCAGATGGCTGACGTACATCTGGATGTTCAATTTCGAATTGGAACGGATTCCTGGCAGTAAGAACCGGGCGGACGGGCTGAGTCGGATCAACTGGGATAAACAGGAAGGGGAGGCAGTGGAGAATACGCCCCTATTTGATGGATTTGTGGACCAGGAAGAAGATGTCCGTCTTCATATCAACAAGTGGTCGCCGCGAGTACCCAGCTGTGTGGGCTATCCTATCTGGCAGGCGCCGAATGGGTATGAAAGGAGGGCCAAGTTAGTCCCCAAACCCTTTGAAGAAGAGGATCCCTGGGGTGGTAAGGGTGTTCAGTGGATGATGGAGTTAGCGCTGGCCAGCTCGCATAGCCTGGTGGAGGACGTGAGGACGATTGAGGAAGGACCTGGCCAAGTAGAACGGCATGAGAACCTGATGGGAGGAATGTATCTCCTCGTCAACACGTTATTGCAGGAAAGCCTCGACCAGTCAGGCTCGTTGAACCCGGCAGGCAAGGTGAATGAAGTGCCCGAGAGTCAGGACGACGAGTTCGAGGAGGGGGGGATTAAGGAGGCCTTTCGTGCAGAGGAGTATGATGGGATCTACCTAGAGCTGGGACTTCTTGTGTCCTGCGAAATGCGGCTAAGGGATGCAAGCGATAGGGCTTAGAGGATGCTGCACGCTGCTTAGTGCGAGACGACCACCTTTTCGTGAGAAGAGAAGTGAAAAATCCCAGGAGAGTCGTCTGCGGTAGGAATCGTCAGATCGACGTCGTAGCAGCGCTTCACGATGGCATTGCAGGAGGGCATCGGGGGGTACAAGCCATGTATGCCAAGATAAGTGAGTTGTACTACTGGGATGGGATGATGGATATGGTCGCGAAGTTCTGCCGATCTTGCGTACCTTGTCAGGAAAGATCCCGTTTAAGGCAAGGAGAGCCGCTGCATCCAAGGCTAGAGCGATAGGTGGGGGTTGTAGTGCATCTCGATCTACTTTTTATGCCGCTTGGGGATCAGGGCTATAACTATATCTTCGATGCGCGCGATAACCTGTCTGGCTTCGTAGACGGGCGTGTTATTCGCACAAAGACCGGGTCAGTCCTGGTGAGCTGCATCGAGGAGTATTACCTGCGCTATCCTTTCGTCAGGGAATTCGTAATGGACAGGGGATCAGAGTTTACCTGCCAGGAGGTGCAAGAACTGTTATCAAGGTATGGTGTGGCAGCCAACTACACCACGGCCGCGCACCCCCAGGCAAATGCTCCCATGGAGAGAGGACATAGTACCATTACGAGCCTCCTGGCTAAGTGGACCGAAGGTAGGCCTAATCAATGGCCAAGGTACCTAAGGGCGGCATTCTTTGTCGAGAACATTACAGTAAAAAGATCCACCAAGTACGCACCGGCGACACTGTGGTACGGAAGGCACGCCACCTTTCCTATCGAAAGTTTTTTTAAGACATGGAGGCGCCAGGATCTGGAAGTTAGCCTGTCATTCGAAGAACTGCTCGATATTCGGGCGCGGCAGATAGGGGCGATAAAAAAAAGGATCCAGGAGGTGTCCGATCAGGTGGCGAGAAGCCGTATGGATGATAAGACTCGATGGGATCAGTCTGCGCGGGTGAGGAAAGTACCTTTGGCAGTTGGGGACGTCGTGTTCCTCTATGATTCATCTTTGGAGAAGCAATGGTTCAGGAAACTCGATAAGAGGTGGTTAGGTCCCTACCGGATCGTACGGGTTGGAGACTTCGGAGCATACCAGATTGAAGAGCTAAATGAGACTGAGTGGAAGGATTGGGTATCTGGAACGCGACTGAAGAAATTTGTGGCGAGAGAAAAGGTAAGAGAGATGACCTGACTGCCTTTAGAATAAGAAGTAATAGGGTGTGTAGGTTAGGTAAGATGCATGTTGCATGAGTGTGGTCTGGTCTGAGCTTGCTTTGACTATCACATGTTTGCTTACCCCAATGTGTGTCTGTTGTCTCCTTCGCTTGTTGTGCAGGTCTGACTTTACGAAGACAGCCATGCCAAGAGGAGGGAAGGGGACACGGCCGCCTCAGAGATCGTTGGGCGCATCAGGAGGATATGAGCGTAATGGGTCTCGTCATCGAGATAGCACTCCAAAGTACGACGGTGGCAACATCGAGCTATTCCTAGACAGTTTCTGGGAGCATGCGCGGCGTATGGGTTGGACTGTGACCCAGGGGATTGAGAGGCTGAGGGGAGTCGGCAGATTCGAGGAGCCCGTCGCACGGATCCGTAGAGAGGCGACGACGAGGTCAGAGGTGGAGTTGAGGATGCACGAGCTGCGACCCTCGCCTGTGGGACCTGATGGCAGGCCGATCCGCCTGGAGATTGGAAATGCGTCGGACTTCATCCCCGCATTTGAGTGGTTCATGCAGGGGAAGGGTATACCGAGAGACGATTGGATGCAGACATTACCACTCTGGACCAGGAAGGCGGAAAGACCACTGGCTAGGCAGGTTAGAAGCATGGTCCGGGACTGGGAGAGCTGCAGGGCACATCTGAGAGAAGCCTTTCGACGGCCAGAGCCCCCTCAGCCCAGAATTGAGAGGCATCAGAGGAGGCAGAGGCAGAGGGACCCTGAGCCCAGGGAGGCGAGACCATCTCGAGGAGGACGGAAGGCCCTAGCCAGGAGAGAAGAGGAACCGGAGCCGGAGCCAGAGGCTGAGGAGCGAGGGGCATACCCTGAGTGTGGGTTGGGACTAGTGGAGTTCCATCGGTTTACCGAGGGTGGATTCAGGAGGTCGCCAGCACGCACGCAGGAGGAGCCGTCAGCATCTCAGGGGCCCTTGAAGGAGTTGGGGACGCATTTGGATATCTCTCAGTGGAGAGCGTCGCCTCGGGGTGAGGAGCATGGAGAGCAGGCAGAGGAGGTGCCACGAGAGGAGGTGCCACGGGAGGAGGTCCAGGGTACTCAGCGAGAGAGAGGGTTGGGCGACGAGGGGAGACGTGCAGGGAAAGAAGTGATAGAGGTTGGAGAGGACACGCCCCCACAGACGCCAGCGGTGGGTTTGAGACTCGGGGATGCACCAAGGAACACTCGCCAGGCGGGGGAGAGGTTGCAAAGAGAGGAGGCCCCATTACCTTCATCAGAAAAGACTCCTTCGCCAGAGGGGAGAGCAGAAAGGAGGAGGGAGAGGGCAGTTGTAAGGAGAGAAACCTTGACCCTGATTGACAGGCACCTAGCAGCTCATGCCCTGGAGCACCCAGACCTGGAAGAGCCAACACCTGTAGAGCCTCGCCAGGAGTCGTGCCAGCCCGAGAAGGAGATGGAGGCAGAGATCCCGAAGAGGTTCGACCTTTGCACGAGGGAAAGAGCGTTAGCTGGAGAGACAGCTAAAGAAAAGAGGGCGAGAAGAACTAGGAGGATAGACGAGATATGGCAAAAGAGGCAGAGGTTGGAGGCAGCGGGGGAGCTTCCGGAGCAGCAGCAGGAGAGGCAGAGATCGGAGGCAGCAGGAGCACTCCCAAGCCAGCCACTCAGCGCGCCAGCTAGGGCCCCGAAGATCCCAGAGATGCGGAGGGACTTCTGGGAGCAGAAAGGAGAGGAGCTTCCGTCACCAGTCAGAACCGGGTTTGGGGTGGCCAGGAAGGCGGAAGAGAGGTTGGATCGAAAAATCAAGTTCCTGGCCAAGACAACTTTTGACCGGCACTTGTTATTGGAGAGCGATCTGGCGGGAAGAAGACAAAGGAAGCAAGTCATGGAGTACACCTGGAGGCTATGGAGATGGAAATCCAGGAACTCAGGGCATTGGTAGCCAGCCAGGCAGCTATCATTGAGAGTCTGAGGCAGCAAACCCAGGGAAAGGTGGACAAGCCAGAGAGCAGCAGGCAGGGAGAGCAGAGGCAGCCAGGACATGGGTTACCAGGACAGCCATCTACAGCAGAGCCTCGCCAGGAGCCACCTATGGGGAGAGTTATCTTGGAGTCAGAGGAGGCGAGAGCCCAGAGACAGGCGGAGAGAGAGGTGTTCGAGTTCAGAGCCCCTACCGAGCTCGCGACACTGCCAGTAGCAGTGGCGGGCCCAGTCGTACCTTTGGCAATTGAGGAGGGGTTACCACCATCTAGCAGTGAGCCGGCTCAGGGCTCGGCAGAGGGATCTATGGGCGTGCTCCTTGAGGCAGTGCATACCATGAAGGAGGAGGCGAGTTTGTTTTCACCCGAGCAGAGGATAGAGGAGTCTCTTGAGGGAGAGATGGGTATTGAGGCGGAGGGTGTCATCGAGGGCGGGCTCCAGAGGTTAGGCACGCGTGAGTATGAGCCAGAGGAGATTGAGCAGCAGCCCATGGTAGTGCCAGGAGAGACACTCGAGAGGAGACCTCAGAGGTTGGACACGCCTGAGTACGTCCCAGCGACAGGGGATTTGAGGAGCAGACTGAGATCTTGGGCTATTGGATCTGGGTCTGGGGGACCGGTTCATGGAATAGAACAGCAGCAGGAGGTCGTTAGTACCGCAGCTCCTCGATCAAAGCAGCAGGGGGTTGTCAGTACCTTGGTAGGATCTCCTTCATCGCCACCTCCTCAGCCCAGGAAGAAGAAGTTCAAGAGGAAGGTTGATCAGCTATGCTTCTAATGCAAGGCAAGAGGGGCATGCATCTGGCTCTGGACTGTCTCGAGTTCCTTGAGGATAAGGCAGAAGAGAAGGTCTTAGAGGCATGGGGTAAGATGTATGATAGACAGGGTAGGATAGTAGAGAAGTCCGCAGATGGACTAAGGGCTCAGTTATATAGGCAAAACCAGGAGGAGTTGAGGAGGTAGAGCCGGTTTGTCTATGTAAGTGAGCAAGTATTTTGTGAGGCATCAGCTTAGGTTCTGTGTGATACCCTCTTAGACTTAGAGGACCTTTTGATGATTGCTACTAGTCTAGATCTGAACTCTAGTGTTCCTACTGAGCTGGGGTCTAGAGGATCAGGGAGATCTAGATAAGGCACGTACATATTTAGATGACCTACGCACAGGCTTTGAGAGATAGATCTGACATGTATTTCAGGGATAATTGTCAGCGTGAGTTTGGCATGGCTTGAGTTGAGTGAGCAATGATTTGGGGACATTTTCTGTGTGAGACATTTTATTTCCCTGGGTGTACATTATGATGAGGTTTTTTTCAGAGAGCATTCTTATATGTGACGATCACTTGTCTCTCTCACATGTGTGGTTATGCTCTGATGTATGATGAGTTTGTGTGGACAATGTGTGAAAAACATCTTATGTATCATGGGTACAGTGAATATGATTGTAAGCAAAATTGTCAACTCCTCGGTATACTTGTGCGACCTGCCCACGGGCAGCTGATAAGGCAGAGTATAAGGGGAGGAAGTGCAGTCCGTCTGTGAAAGATTGTGAGGATTTGAAGATTTATGGGCCCTGGAGGCTCAAAATGCTTACCATGTTGATTGTTGATAGCTTAAGTTATGATGAGGACCCATAAGATGTTTGCTCAGCGATGCTCTGTTTTATGGTGGGACCCCTTTGGATTTTGGAGAGGGGGGATGTTTTAGGATGTTTTGTGTTGTAACGAGACCCCTCGTGATTTTGAAAGAGGGGGTATTTTGTTCTGTGATGAGACCCCTCGTGATTTTTTGAAGAGGAGGTGTTTTGTTTTATGAGGAGAGCCCCTTGGATGTTTGGAAAAGGGGATGTTTTTGTTGTTGGAAGACTCACCTTCAAAGGTGAGTAAACTGATTTATGGCATGGTAAGCTATCTGATGAGTGATAAAAACTTACGAAAAGGGACCACTTTTGTTTGGAATATTTGAGAAGGTCGCAATGAGTGCAGGGCGAGATGATGTCTCAGGATGGGTGGCTGCTGACTCTGATCAAGTCAGGGGTCACGACCTGGTGGACCTAGCGGTGATTTTGTTTGTGAGCGTGCGAAGGATGCCATGCCTATTGTGGAAGGGCTGGTAAATGCCTTCGGACCCCTGCGTATCGCGCAGTGGGCCTGTGATTTTGTTTTGCGACGCCCCGTCTAACCACATGTGCTAGTTCTGGGACATATTGAAGAAAGGTCAAGCTAACGGAAAAGAAGTTAGTACCTCTAGGGCATAACCCCATTGGATGGCTGCTAGCCGGCGCAACCTCGCTGCGGGACCGCAGGGTAAGAGTTTAAGGGGGGTTGCCCACCCCAGTGAAATTATTCCGCGGGATAGTGATGGTTGATACTTTTTGGGGGAAATCCTGATTGAATGCTTATCAGGAGAAAACCTATCGTTGCGTAACCAACGAGGGTACTGCCGTTAAATAACAATACGGTGGGCCGTGGTCCTGGTCCGATCAGCCAGGCTATAGTGGGTCAAGGTGGAGACCTAACCTTTCTATACTAGACTGCAGAAAGAGCTGAGCGGATATTAAGTATACGAATATGCTTATGAGTATTTGATTGCGAGAGATTTTTTGAGAAGGAAGGCGAGAGTGCCTTCAAAGATCCCGATTAAGGCCCGCGTCCCTAGTTTTTGCCAGGACTAGGGGCACCTAACGAGAAGCCGAAGGTTGTCTAGGATTGGGGAGAGGACGATTGAGAAGGTCTTTAGAACTTATGCGGTCAACGTCCTAATTTCTGGGCGGTGAGAGGCCCAGGTTAGAAACCTGGCAGCATATAGTTGTGGAGGCATGTTTTGATGGAGGCCTCTACCCTGTGTTTGTAGGCTAATCGGATTGGCTCCTTTCTCGTCAGCATTTGGAGTGTGAATGGATTTATAGCCTTCTGATTTGGCGAAGCGACGGGGATGTCGCTTAATATGGTCCGGTAAGCTGTCGGCGCGAATACCCTTACAAGGGTATCGCCCTATTTTATGCAAATGGTAAAAAATAGTTTTGGTTTAAAGTTTAAGTATACCGCGCTAGGCGCGGCCGCGTCTGTAATTTTCATGTTGACTGGTTGGTCGACTAGAGTAAAGAGTGCGTGGGCGCGCAGGTTTAGGGCGCGCGTGATTCTGTTTTGTTTTTTATCATAAAGTTGGTGCGGACATCGGTCGTTGGTTAATAATATTATTAATATTTATTTTTATTTTTGATCAAGCAGGGATTTGAGATATTTTCTATTGATTGGTATGTCTGACCGAGGCGAGCGCGTGTGCGAGGGCGACGGCATCGACAGTGATGGATACGGCCAAATAGGGGTAGCCGCGGCACGGCCGGTGGGCCGGCGCGAGATTTTTTTCAGCGGCCATGCCTACAAGCGCGGGCCGAGAAGCGGCCGAAGGCGGTTCCTTGGCCCTAAGAGTCAGGGACTACCTCTTTATTAGGAGGTATGTGCCTGTTGGTGTCAGGCTTGGGCTTAGCCCTATAGGTTACGACATTGCACTGACACTGCGACGGTACGGGGATCGAGGCCGGCGGGCATCAGCGCCGAAGCAGCGGAGTGACGCGGAGGAAGCCGAGGGTCGAGGGCCCGGCAGGGCTATCCCCTCTGTTTTGTTTTTTGGTAAGCGCGACAATGGGTCCGACCTGCTCACCGATGACGTGCCAACAGGCTCGCTGTCCCCAGGTAATATTAGGTTTATTTTTATCTTATTTTTCCCTTGTCGGTTTCTCTTTATCGCATCCCGTTCGGGGACGTGAGACGGCGGCAGGGTCACGTGGAGTGTGTTGTATTTGCGGGGCGCCTGAAGTGCAATTGCAAACTGGTTTTGAAACTACGCTGGAGCCGCGCCCGACATTGTTTTGCTTAAGCGCGGTGCCGTGGGTGTAAAAGGCACCCAAGAGCCTAGCTTAGTGAGCACGCCCCTGAACCGCTGAAGCGCAGACCAAGGCGAATCCGGTACGAATCCGGGCCGGGTACGTGTACGGGATGCCGAAGAAAAAAAAGGGTGAACGCCCGTTGGTAGAGCTACGGGGCATTGCCCCGGCTAAGGCCTCGGGGCATTCTGGTGGAGGCTCGCAGCGATACTGACGTGCAAATCATTCGTCGGACTTTGGGTATAGGGGCAAAAACTAATMGAACCGTCTAATACCTGGTTCCATCCGAAGGGCCCTCAGGCCGGCTGGCTGTCGGGCGGGCGCTGGCCRGTGCAAAGTCCTTCGGGACATCCGTTAAARTKGGAACRATACAGAGAAGATTAGCATGGCCCCTGCGCAAGGCTGGCGCCCATAAGTCCCAGAACGAAGGCCAGGTGCGTGCACTAAGACAAGGCTGCACTGTGGTCGGACAGATCATGAGAAGCCGGGGGGGGCGGCGCTGCCAAGGCTTGGGTCCCTCGGGACATCTGTTGAGGCTGGGATGATGCCGAGGGGATCGGCGAGGCTCTGCGCAAAAATGGCACGTATAGAGTGTGAGCAAAAATTCCTCCCCGATATTCTTTTCCCTTTTTTGTTGTTCGACTTCATTGGTTTGCCCGCAGGTATGCTCCGCGGGCTGATGCGCTATCCTTATTACAGACCGAAAGGAGTGACGAAGAAGGGGGGGATGGACCTAGACACAAATTTGCGCCAAGTACATGCGCAGTGAGAAGGGAATCGGGCATGGCGGAGCAATGAAGGAGCGAGGGGGAGGAAGAGCTTGTTCTCCCGTTCCTTCGCGGAACTAGGTAGGAGAACACTTGGAGTTGGGGGTTTGGTATCGGGCGAGAGTAGTGGTGGAGCTAGATTTGGCAAGGGATTAGTGGAATGGGAGATAGGACAGAAAATGAGCGCGCGGGCTATGCCGAGGAGTGAAAAAGGAAAACGAGGAAAGACGAGTATCTTGCTCGCTTCTGAGTGAAAACGAGCGAGGGAGAATTCGATTCGGGGGTTTTAGAGTAGGGCGAATGCGTTAGTGATGTTAGTTTTAGTGGTAGATTGGTAGAATATGAGGAGAAGGAAAGGTTGATATGCAGGGTATGGAGAAGAGTGACGGGAGAGTGGTAGAAATGGTGAGGAAGTAAATCATATTTCGCCCGTTTCTTAGTGAAAACGGGCGAACGAAGATTCAAATTCGGGGTTTGGAGGTATGGCGAGTCTGATRGTARCATCAGATCTYGMATTCGAGCACTGGGCTGGCCAGGCTTAGTGGTAGGGGATGCGCTGTGCAGAACGGGCCAGGCGCGRGGTGAMAGCGACTRTGGAAATAACGATGAATCTTCCCAGTTTTTGGCGGACGGTTCACGCTCAGTTTTTGCATTTTTTCTGAACGGACATGACATTGAGATAGGTGCGAGGGTGTACGAGAGAGAGGGAAGTGGCAGAGGCCAGCTGCAGAGCTGGAGACTTACCTACTGGGCCGGTRCGTTTCTTACCATACCGACGGAGGAAGCTACCMGCTAGCTATCTKAGTCCGTGCGTGTGAMTGAAGGGGCGGTGTATCCCSCCACGTTCCGGAGAGGGATTCGCTATCGCCTCGCACGTTTCGGGAGTAGTGGAGCGGGGCCGTGGCCGTATACTTTGATCCAGTTTTGGTGACGTGCAGCTCGCAGATTCATCTCCTGGCTCGTGCTTGTCTTTCCCCTTATCGTGATTAACTTGTAATCAGGGCCGCTTCTGAGGAGTGTCGTCCGTGTCACAATAGCTTTGGCAACGGATAGGAATCGGGCGCGAAGTGGGACCAGGTGTCGATTGAAGGCCAAGGGGGAAAGAAGTCGTGATGGGAAGGCACTTACGGGTGACTTACCGGGTAACGAAGGAGACGCGGGGGAGATTGGCGCAGT